TGAGAAGCAGGGACGTGGTGGGAAGCGCTGAGGTGGTCGGTGGGTGGCAGAGGTTCAGGCTGGGCTGGAGGCGCTGAGGGGGGGGACAAGCTGAGGCAAGATGTGCTGAGCTGCGGTGCATAGTCTGAGGTGGGAAGCGCTGGGGTGAGGGCTGGGGCTGAGGTGAGGGGAGCACTGAAGTGCGGCGCTCAGGTCGAAGCGGGAAGCGCTGCAATCGGGGGGCTCGGCTCGAAGCAGGCATCGCTGGGATGTGGGGCCCGCGCTGAGGCGGGCAACACTGGGTGCGGGGCTGAGGCGGGAAGGGTGGAGGTGAGAGACTGAGAAGGCGGGAAGCGCTGAGCTGGGCGGGCTCATGCTGAGGTAGAAGCTGAGGTGGGGGATGAACAGGGCGGATTCAGCCGGAGGCGGAGGGAAGCGCAGTGGCAGGAGGCGAGCAGCAGGGGCGCAGGCTGAGCTGGCGGGAAGCGCTGAGGCAAGGCGTGAGCGGCAGGAGTTCAAGCTAAGGTGGAAGCATTGAGGTGGGATGAAGAGCGAGAGCTCAGGCAGCAAGTGCTTGGCAGGGATTCAGGCTGAGGTGGTGGGAAGCATTGAGGTGGATGGTGAGTGGCAGAGGGCTTAGACAGTCTTCAGATTTGGGGAAAACAAGAACAAATTCCTCATTTATGTTGGGGATATAGAGTGTGCTAAGCCCTCCCATAACTTATTTTACCTTCTCTCTGTCTGTTTGTCTGTCTCTTTCCAACTCCTTCAAGGAAGAGAAGAAAAAGAAAGCCTCCAAGTAACTGAGCAAAGAGGAGGGGGAAAAGGAAACCACTAATGGTAGAGGAGAGGGAAAGAAACTCTGGACACAGTGAGCATCACCCATAATTAAGACTTGGGTCATATGGTGGAGTTGAAGCTATTAAAAACTTAAGCAGTGTGATTTCCCTGGAGAAAAGGTTCAGATCTATAATATCCTGGACTTTTGGTATTATTCTCTGTTAGCTAGCTAGTAAGAGTAACTAACCTGTGATGACAGAACAAAGCTTATGGGGATATTCAAGGTTTAGACCCCTGAGCTGCTTGACCTCCCAGTAATTCAGAGTAAGGTCTTTGTCTTCTTTCCCTCTTTTCATTATCCCTTGTTTGTAGGCTAGTCAGCCTGACAAATCTATAAGGAGTGTGCATGTCACAATAATCTCTTTCTTCTGTAGGAAAGGTGGAGGCATTTGGTACCTTGAGCTATGTGGCCTGCCTGTAATTCAGTAGAAAGACTCTGCCTTTGAGCTCTTGGCATTAGGTACCATGGCTGCTGGTCAGAATGAGCACCCTGTAAGGAGGGTCCAAGTCTCATGAGTCACTATTTGTCGTGCCAGCCCCCCGCCCCCGAGAAACTCTGTCCAGGGTCCCTGCCCATCACCCTCCCTTGCCAGCTGGCCTGGAATTGCACCGCCTCGCCTCCCTGTGGCTCATGGCCTGGCCTCTGGAGATGAGACATTCTGCAGCCGTTGCTGGTAAGTTCCAAAAGAGATGCTCCTCTGGCATTGTTTGAAGCAAATTGATGACAAGTAGTGCCATCATGTCTCATGCCTCTCCCTCTGTGTGTGTGTCTCTCTGGTTCCAGGGTTGCCAAGGAAGAGAAGAAAGAAGGAAGGACGGCGCGAGGAAAAATCCGTCGGACGGGAGGAAAGGAAAGGGAGGAAGCCCCTGAAGCTGGAGGGGAAGGAATGGGACCCTGGACAGAGTGAGCCCCCCCGAAAATTAAGAGCCTCTGGTCACTTAAGGCTATTGAGCCTTTTCCTACTTTGAGCAGTGTGGTCTTCCCTGTAAGTAGGGTTCAGGTCTGTGCTCTGTTGGCAGTGTGCTCATTTAGCTGGCTAGCGGGAGTGACTGCCCTGTAAGTAGGGTGCAAGTCACGGTCCTGTGGCTTATGGGGGATCTTGAGCTCTGTGGAAGCCGGTGCAGCGTGACCTCCCTGCAATTCAGGAGAAGGTGGCTGTCTTTTAGGCTCTTGGCACGAGTCTTCTGTAGCAGCCTACTGGGAAGGGACCGCCCTGTAATTCAGGTGCAGGTCGAATCCCACTCATTTGGAAGGGATTAGCAGGAGCTTGGTGCCATTGGTACTGAGACCTGCCTGTAATTTGGGTTCAGGGCTCTACCCTCTTGCCCTTTTGGCATTGTGGCCTGTTGATAATGTAGCTGCCATGATCACCCTGTACCGGAGGGGAAGGTAGCATGTCTCCTGCTCACGAGGGCTTAGAACTAGCTTTGTACCATGGCCTGGGTGACCACCCTGTATGGAGGGTTCTGGTCTCTTCCCTTTCCTTTATGAAAATAGTGTTTTCTAATGAGGCTAGACAGTATGGCCACTCTGTTCTTAGGGAGGG